TAAGGAATGGGTGAAAACATTCATGAATAATCCATGTTGTGGGATGTCTTTCTGTACCCTGTGAATATGTGTTGCTCTGATTGGTTGATAAATAAAACTGTTTGGCCAATGGTGAGGAAAAATAAGGCTAGGCAATATATTTGCACTGAAGAGAGAGAAGAAGAAAGGAGAATGGGGGGGGGATGCTTAGAGCCATGGTCAGGAGAAGCAAGATGTGAAAGTACCAGTAAGCCACGAAGCCATGTGGCAAGACATAGATTAATAGAAATGACTTAAGTTATAAGAGCTAACTAGCAAGAAGCTTGAACCATAGGCCATACAGAGGCTTAATTAATTAATATAAGCCTCCGTGTAATTATTTTATAAGCGGCTATGAGGCCACGGTGGGAGAGATTCAAATGGATCTCAGGGCCGGGCATGACTGGAGAAACATCCAACTACAAATGTACAGTAGCCTCCCCTGCAGAGAAATGCTAGTGGACACTTGAGATGCAGGATCACACTGGGTGGTATATACAAGCCCTGTAATACTGTAGGAGCCAGTTTTATATCCCATATGGCATATACACCATGATGATGCTGGGCAATGGAGGGACTCATATCAATAGGAAAGTACAAAACAAGATGGGTTTTCATCACCGTATTCAGTGCAGTATACAACCAAAAACTTATGAATTATTTGTTTATGGATTAGTTAATTTAATGTTTTCAAATTATGATTGACTTTATGGAACTGGAGCTATGGTAAGCAAACCTGTATGCATGTATGTACTGTGTCATTCAGGAGTGTATCATTTATTTAAAACAAATATAATGGTACCATACCCATACCTGAGCTGTTTCTCTTGTCTTATGCTTGTACCTTTATGACTGACACTGAGCTCTTGGATCCATTTTCAGCTTGTTCATGTGTTTGGCTGCTTGTTTTTGAGTATAGTATGAGGAGCAGAGTGTTTAACCTTTGTTCTTCTGGCAGGTGTCTTAGTACACAGCTGTAACCACAGCACTGGAGAGGTAGAGGCACCATCTTCAGCTGCATAGAGAGTTTGAGGCCAGACTGATCTGTATATGGATACCCCATTTCCTCTCTTCTATTTATTGAACGTACTGGCCTTTCTCCACACATGACTTTTGGCACCTTTGTCAACCATCTGTTGGCTGTAGATTCATGAAGTAATTTTTGGATTCTCTGTTACATTCAGTTTGCACTACTTTTTAATGCCAATACTGCCTAGATTTCCTAACTGTAGTATGTCTGAGATCAGGCATGGTGATGTGTTCAGCTTTGGTCTGTTCAGAATCTTTTGTGCTTGCAATTGTATTTTAATTTTATCTGTTTTGTTTTATGTAGAGGAGCACATTAGAATTTTCATGAGATTACATCAAGTTTGTAAAGCACTATGGTGGTATGACCATTTTGATGATAAGAATTTTGAGGAATACAGGCTGCAATATAGCAGTGAGGGACTTCAGCATCCATTGATCAATGAGCCGATCATCCTGAGTCCTCCCCCTCACCCCCTCCAGCCCCACACTCACCACAAATCAACAGAGGGACATCAGAGTTAAGCTAGAGTGTCAATCAAATGGAGTTGACATCCAACAGCACTTTCTTCTATCACCTAATGGGACAACATGGTGGTCTATGGATTAAGTCACAAAACAAGTTTCCATGTGAAGAGAACATTGAATTCCCAGAATGTGTGACCTTTGCCCATTGTATAATAAAATTAAACTTACAAATTATACAAATACATGAAAACTTAACAAAGGGCTGTTGAATGAATGCTGACTCTTTGAAGGAACTGAAAAGGAAATTTAAGGTGTGAGCTCACACATTTTTATTCATTTGTTCCAAGAAGCTTTGCAATCATTTAATCATTACTTTTTAAAATTACAACTGATGTGAAAGCTTTGACAGAAGATTCCAGTATTTAATTCATATAAATCAGTAGTTATTGCATTATTTCCACAATTTGAATTGTGACTCTCCTGAATTTTGTTATGGTAATTGGTTATTGGTACAATCCTGACAAAATATATATAAGATTCTGAGATTCTGAATTTACCTATTTTTTCCCAGCATTCAACATGTCTAGACTGGTGTAGAGGATGCAGGGTGGAGGTGCAGGCTGGAATTGTTGGGAGGTTGTGATCACAGCATGTCATTCTGCCATTTTTCAGACAGCAAGATTAAGTTTAGCTTTCCCATCAGCACAAGGACCATTTTGAGCAGCATTACTACCTAATACTTCCTCTCTTTGTCCAAGGGTGACATCCTACATGCAAGAGTGGAGGATGAGCCCTCTGCCCCCTACCTTCTTGCATGAGTGCAGAAGTAGCTCCTTGCTCCCTCCAACTTCATGCAAGAGTGTAGGAAGTGCCCCTGCCCCTCTGTCTTCATGCATGGGTGTGGGATCATTTCTTTATCCCTCTGCCTCCATGCATGGCTGTAGGATCATCTCTCTATCCCTCTGCCTTCATTCATGAATATGGATCAGCTCTCTGCCTGGACTTGAAGGCATCAGGGAATAAAGATAGAAGCAAAGCAAGTTCCATTGGCATTTTGTCCAACCACCTCTATCTTGTATGTATAAGTGAAGTCTCAGCAGCATTGGGGGCTGCTGACATGGAGAGGAACTGGGTGCACTGATTGTCATGTCTTCACTGCTGTTTTATGCCACTTGGCCCTTTTGAAGACCACTTATTGGGAGGGAGGAGTGGTCCCTAGTCCTGCCTCCTCTTTCCTCCTTCTCTTTGAAGACAAAAGCTACGGAACCCTCTATGCCACTCTGAAAGGGGGCAGGTGATATAAATTAGGGCTGACTTGCCTCCCTGGCCAGTGCTTTGTTAACGTTGTGAGACTGCTGGTTGCCATACTTGTACCAATGACCATTGGAACTGTGATGGTTTGAGGAAGAATGGCCCCCATAGACTCATACATTTGAATCCTTGGTCACTAGTTAGTGGAACTGTTTGAAAAGGATTAAGAGGTGTGATGCTCTGGGAGGGCAGGGCTTGGAGGTTTTGAAAACTTATGCCGTTCCCAATTAGCTCTTTCTGCCTCCTGCTTGTAGCTTAGATGTGAGCTGTCAGCTACTGTTCCATTGCTCTGCCCTCCTGAATGCTGCCATGCCCCCAACCATGACATTCTAACCCTCTGAAACTGTTAGCCCCAAATAAACTTTGTTCTGTGAGTTGCTTTGGTCATGATGTCTCTTCATGGTATTAGAAAACTAAGACAGACACTCTTCTGCTTGTACTTGGTAGAAAATGGATGGTCAGACCCACTTTGTCTTCATCAGGAGCCTTATGTCCACCATGTCCTATGCTGGGCATTGGTTTCCTGGCTGCTTCTACAGGACAATGGAGTGGGGAGAAGATCAGACTGTTACCTCTACTAAGGTTCCCAGCTGTAGGGGAAACTCTGGTAGGATTGAGTCTACACCGTGGTGGTGAGTCTTGAAGTTTCACACTGAGTAGTTAGTATTTAAACTTTTTAAAATTTTGAGACAAGGGTTCTTTGCATAGCCTTGACTTTCCTGAAACTCTCTTTGTATAGCAGGCTGGCTATGAACTCACTAAAATCTGCTTACTTCTGCCTCCTGAGTTCTGGGATCAAAGGCGTGGCAACCATTGCCTGGCTTAGTATTTTAACTTTAAAAAAGATTTGAGTCAAAAAAGTATGGCCTGGAGGAGTTGGTGAAGCAATATTTCATCAACACAATTTCGAAAGGATGAACTGAAATAACTTCTAAGGAAATGCTGAACCAGTATTTTCTCTCCAAGCATTATCTTAAGACAATTCATAACTATCACATGTAAATGTTTAGAGACATGGATGATGGTTTCAATAGTAGTCAATTAATTATTTACTTAAATACTATTTTGATTTACTGTTTTAACTAGTACACTAATGTACATAATCATCAGAAAAATTCATACAATATGGAAGTATAGAAAAAATTAAAAATAATTTGCTATCAATATAGCTGCCCTGTCCAAAGTCTATTTTCATAACTCATTCTCCTAGGTATGTATTGACTGGTAAATAATTGTAATCATTAGTGGTAGAGTCCTTCATCTTACTGTTTCTTTTTTGTTTGTTCCAGACAGTTTCTCACAATGTGGCCCTGGCTACTTAGGAACACAATACATACACCAGGCTACACTTCAACTCACAGAATTCCACTTGCCTCTACCTCCTGAGTGCTGGGATTAATTAAATGTGTGTGTAGCCACTATGTCTATGCATGCTGTTTCTTGATTCATTATTTTAAAGTTTGAAATAATTTTGTTATTTTAATAAAATTAAACCATATATATATATATATATGTTTTATAGACAGTATTGATTTAGCTGATAGTCTGAGAAACAAGATGTGTAGCAGTTTACACCGAGTAATGAGAATCATTTGGGAAAGAAGGAAAGAAATTCAGACTTAGGAGATGGCTCAGAGGGTATATTGCTTGCTGTACAAGCATTAATACCGGCATTTGCATCCCCAGAACTCACATAAATGCCATATGCAGTAGAATGCTTATGTGCTCCCAGCATTCCTTGGGTGATATGAGAGGTAGAGCCAAGAGAGTCCATGGATCCTCAAGGGCCTTCTTGCCTGGAGTACACAGCAGCAAATCATAAGAGACCCCACATCAAACATGGCGGAAGGGAGGACAGACACTGCAAGCTGTCCCCTGACCTCTACTTGTATCCCACACTTGTGTGTGCCTGTCCATAAGCATATACACATACATCATAGATACACAGACATACAAAGATAAATAAATTAAAAAAAGTATTGGGGCTGAGAGATAGCTTAGCAGTTAAATCACCGGCTGCTCTTCCAGATGACCTGGGTTCTATTCTTAGTATTCACATGGTGGCTCAAAACCATCTGTAGCTCCAGTTCCAGGGCTTCTGACACCTTCTTGCCTCTGCAGACACCAGAAACTCAAATGGTACACAGAAATACATGAAGGCAATATCCACATAATATAATAAAATAAAAATTAAAGTTAAGAAAATAATCAAAATAATATTTTCAGGCAGGGACTAGAGGATACTACATTGAAATGATACTAGACTTACTTGTCATCTAGATTCTGTCTTTTAACTTTTGGTTAACTATAAAATGTTAACTAAACTTGATTCCATTATTTTCTGCATGATTGACAAGGGCTAGGACATGATTAGGGACTAGGACACTTCATAAGGTGAAGACGATTTCTTTTTTAAGTGTTGGGTTATGTCTCTCTAAAGTATTAGAACACATTTTTGCATAACCATTGTCATTGTATCTCACCAAAAGTAGTCATAAAATGATAATATTTTTGTGTGTTTGGTGGTAGGGACTGAACTCATGACCTTGGATATGTCCACTGATCTACTCTTTTGATAATTCTTTAATATGAATTATTGTTATGATTGTTGTTATTACTATTTTGTGTGTGTGTGTGTGTGTGTGTGTGTGTGTGTGTGTGTGTGTGTGTGTGTGTGACTGTAGGCACATGCATTTCATGGTATGCATGTGAAAGTCAGAGACCAACTCTTAGGAGATGGTCTGGGGATTGAACTCTTGTAGAATTCTACTGCTTCTACCCACTGTGCCATCTCACTGGCCCACAGTAGGGATCCTTAGTGAAATTTCCTGTGTTCTCTCCCCTCTCTGCTTTCCCATTAGATATCTTTTTGTAATTTATTCCTTGATGCCAATATGTAAGCAAGACTGATAGATTGTATTGGGGTGTTTTATATGTTTCTTCTCATTTATAATAGTGGCGCCCTCATATTTCCATGGCACTGGCTTGTTGAAGAAACCAGATGAGTTCTTTAAAATGCCTCCCACTGAGGACTTTCTGGATGGTTTCATTACCTATAAACTGGAAGTAGAAGCTGAATGCTTGATAACATTCCATTTTAGTATTTGTGAGGACAATTCTTCATAAATGGTATCATTAAAGAGCTGCTTCTAATAGAAAATTTTCAGGGGAAGTCTATCTAGTTAAGCAGACTTATTTAAATAAAACATCACACACCAGTAGAGTGTATAACCAATAAAGACATTCAAGTCCGGACGGTGGTGGCACACGCCTTTGATCCCAGCACTCGGGAGGCAGAGCCAGGCAGATCTTTGTGAGTTTGAGGCCAGCCTGGTCTACAGAGCGAGATCCAGGAAAGGCACAAAGCTACACAGAGAAACCTGTCTGAAAAAACAAACAAACAAAAAAAGACATTCAAGTGTTCATTAGAAAAAAGATTTAAATTAAAAATGTAAGAACATTAAATATAGCTGTGGTACAGGAAATGAAGAAATCTGATGAAAAGCAAATGTGTTGACAGATGTGTCTACTCACACCTGTCATATCTGCACTTGAGAGGTGGAGGCAGGAGGGTCAGGAGACCAAGACAATCCTGGACTACACAGCACATTCAAGGCCAGCCTTTATTCTCCTTTCTTCTAAGATGCTGGGTTTGCTTGATCAAGAGGCTACCATCCCCCAGTATGACCTCAGCCCAGCAAATCTTGTCTGCAATAACCCACTGCCAAAGAAGGTCATATTCTGAGATCTTTACAGTTAGGATTCCAGCCTGTCTTTAGAGGTGCATAATTCAACCTACTCTTAAACTGTACATCTTTGAACACATTAAGTTAAATATAATGATTGTAACCTTAGAATCCAGACCAGACAGGCACCTGACAAAGGGCACTGTCTGTGAATCTATAGCTAACAGACTTCTACGTGCAAGGATTGTTTACGTGGGGAAGTGAGTTTATATTAAAGCAGGTTTATCTTAAAAATCTCTTGTTTCTTTCTCACCTCTTGCTTAGAAATGAGTTCTAGACCCATGCTGTGAAACCACCCTCCTTTCCAAGAGCTATAAAAAGGAGATTTCATTTCTGCCTCTTGGACTCTGATCTGTTTTTCTATGATATCAAAAGCTGTCCTAATAAACTTCTTACCCCCAATAATCCATCTTAGCATCCGCCTTGAACCCATATCTTAGAATTTTCAGTCACTGATTGCCTAACTGATTGTGCAATTATGACACTCAGGGATGGTGTCACACTATAGATTGGAACTGGGATCTGAAACTGTCCCCCATCTCCTCAGTGGAAATGGAGGAAGGAGAGCAGAACAATGGTTGTTCATTACTTTATGGTAATGCTGACAGAGTAATGGTGGAGGGTAGTTTAGAAAACCATCCACAGACAGACATTAAGAGTGATGATGGTGCACACTTCCATGGCTCTTAGTTTCTTCCACACCTTTTAATTAAGCTTGTTACAGAGTTCCTGGTAGCTCAAGTTTGTCGTCCTAACACTCAGGAGGTTGAGGCCGGAGGATGGCTGCAACTTTGAATCAAGCTTGACTTACATAGTGAGTTTCAGGCTAGCCATGCTATGTACATAGAAAAAAAAACAAAAGCTCTTAACATAAATACTAAAAAAAAAAAAAAAAGAGTGCCCAATCATGCAGACAGAGATGGTGTAAGCCAGTGCTCTCTCTTATTAGAAATCATAGTGACTGGAGAGATGATTCAGCAGTTAAAAATATTGGCTGTTCTCACCATTGGCTGTTCTCACAGAGGTCCTGAGTTCAATTTCCAGCAACCACATGATGGCTCACAACCATCTATAATGGGATCAGATTCCCTCTTGGCGTGTAGGCATACATGCATGCATACATGCAGAGTACTCATAAAATACATAAATAAATAAACCTTTTGAACTAGAAATCACAGATGGACCTGGGAGGGTAATGGTAGCACACGTATTTAATTCCAGCACTTGGGAGGCAGAGGCAAATGGATCTCTTGTGTTCAAGGCCAGCATGGTCTATAGAGGGAATTCCAGGACAGCCAGGGCTAAAGAGAGAATCCCTATCTCAAACCCCCACCATAAACAGAAAAAAAATAGAAAACAAAATAAAAAACACCCAAACAAAAACAAAAACAGAAAAGGAAAGGAAAGAAAAGTAAAAAAGAGAAAAGAAAAGAAAAGAAAAGAAAAGAAAAGAAAAGAAAAGAAAAGAAAAAAGAAAAGAAAAGAAGAGAAAAGAAAAGAAAAGAAAAGTAGTATCACAGGAAATGTTTGAGGGTGACAAGCAGGGCGGCTTGCTGCTCCAGCCCACACAGACACTCAGGAATCCCCCAGCATGCTGATTTTCCACCCCATGACAGACACACTGGGCAGTCACCCTAGACACAGTCCAGAATATGTCATGTGGCTGCCCCTCCCCCATCTGTGGTAAGGAATATCAGAAGCCAGCTGGGCAACAGATGGGAAAGGAGGCCCTCACTTCTGGCACCTTGCCACTTCTCAGGGTTCCTTTTTATGTGGCCACCACACCTTTATCACTTCTTATTTCTAAAGCACTTCCTCCTCCAGCCTTGCTCGTTAACCCTCAGCAGAGTCAAACTATAACCTTCTGTGTAGATGCTGTCTGAGTTAGGGGAGGGCCACCCTGACGTATCCTAGAACACATCATCAGGCACATCATTCACAATCCCAACATTCAGTTAATCCAAAATGTCCTTGTCATGTGAAGGGTAAATCTGAAAGGTTTCTAAATATTTAATATATGATGGTTGCATTGTCAGGCTTTTCTGGCAAGATTTGAGGCTAAAACTGGAAAAATGTTTTCCCCCTTTCTCAACTTTTCAACTAGATATTTAGCAGAAGGGAGTATAAAAGTAATTTAGAAGGTGTATATCCTGCAAACCTGGAATGTGATGTCAAATTTAGCATTGTTAAAAGAAATAAAAGGGACAAGAAACAATTATGCCTGTGCTTAGCAATGACTCTGGGTATTGTTAAATTTAACAGGTATTTTCACAGGAAATCCTCCCTTATCAGTATTAAGAAAAGAGTAGAGTGTGCACATGCTTAAAACTTTAATCTAATTCATGTATTTAATCTCATTTATGTATTCACTTATTTAATTTTGTTTTGCTTTGTTTTTCAAGACAGGGTTTCTCTGTGTAGCTTTGTGCCTTTCCTGGATCTCACTCTGTAACGAGGCTGGCCTCGAACTCACAAAGATCCGCCTGCCTCTGCCTCCAGAGTGCTGGGATTAAAGGCTTACAACACCACAACCTAGCCACTTATTTAATTTTTTGACACAGAGTCCCATATATTCCAGACTGGCCTTAAATTTAACACTGAAGATATCCTTGAACTTTCAATCTTTTTGCCTCCACCTCC